CGTAACAATATATATATATATATATATATATATATATATATATATATATGGGAAAGTAAAATGGATGTGAATACTATGTGGGCGTGTTCTCACAGCCATCGCGCACTGTACGTGACCATTTTGCCACTTTAATTACATACTTTTAATAGTAAACTGTAATAGTAAATTACTGAAGTGTTATTACAGATTTATTAAATAATAAATTATGTCTATGTACAAAATAAAATAATGCACTTTTCGAACTTTCAAACTTGCAAAGGTTTTTATGACACTCCTTAAATAAATATTGCTTCACTTTCAATTGATATAGTAGCCAGATCTGTTAATATTTCTTGTGACATGGTTGATCGTACGAAGTTTTTAGATTAATAATTTTTAATTTTGAAAATGATATTTTTCCGGCGGCTACTGTAACTGTCAAGTTAATAAAATTTGTAATATCACTATTATATTAGGGAATGGCAAGGTTAGTTTATTTTGCTATATGAATTCATATATCTTCATATGACTTCAGTCGGTGATGATTTTGATTTGAGAAATTTCGTCATTATAGTTTGTTCTTTCGTAAATTCTATTGCTTTTATATCTCGTAGACTATCCGTACCAGTTTCGTCAGTAATTTTAAATTATAGTTTCATACGTTTTTTAATAAGTCTGATTTACTTATTTCTGCTAGTTTGGTAAAGTCATATACAAATATGTAGTAATATAGTATATGAAGCCATATACAAAAAGCAACATTCCTGCGTTACACAGGAGGCCTTTGCCCTACTATGTATGATAAGGCTTGTAATAATACGGTAATAACAAAATAATACAAAACGGATCACGTTGCACTATAGCAGTTGAAACTTCTATAGATAAAATTGTAGTGTCAATAATTGTCGTCTGCACGGAATTGCGTGTAAGTGGGGGAAATCTACTTCTACATCACACAAATTAGCAAGCTGTTGCGGTGCTTACCATTTCATCAAAATTATTGCGATTTTTTTTAAACGGACACCAGCATTCAAAAGTAGCGTATTTCCAAAACATTATATATATATATATATATATATATATATATATATATATATATATATATATATATCATTCAGTGATAAATAAAGGTATATAAATTGTGCATTACTACCAATAAATAAGGGACTTCAGGACTCAACCAAGAAATATGGAGGTTGTATCTTGCTGGAATTTATTGATTGTGTATGAATAAATGGAAAATTAATATTAATTCAAAGGAGTAGAGAAAAAAATT